CATGCGATCACAGCGCTTAGTGTGCGAGCGGATTGCGTGTCCGCCCTCTAGTATATTAATACAACTCTATGGTAGACATTTACTACACTTAAAAATGGCTGGTTGCTAGCTTTCTCAGGACTAACGGTTTCATAGTTGTGGTTGTGTAGCTCAACCGAAAGTATGTTCAGCATAGGCATGTGTAATGAGGATGCTCTTAATAGGCCCCCTACCCATTTTCTCGTTTTCTATTCTCTTGCACAATATCAAGCCAATTAACAGCATTGAAAAAACTACACTTAATCTTGCGTTTCACATTCTAACGACGAAAATTAATTGTGCGACCACTAGGGTTCGTATCGGTACTTTTCATAAAACTCGATTAGATCACTATATTATGTAGAGCGTTATTATATTATATGACATATCACTGTGATGAGAATGATAGTTATGTTGTCGTTTTTCTGTTGATGTTGATGTTGTAAGAACTACAGTTACAAGTTACAACTAACTTTTACTATATAGAGATCAGTACGCGTTAACTGTTTATACGGTTAAAGTTGTATCGGTGATTATACGTTATAACGCATTGGCAACTTTTTGGTTGTGTAGATGGCGCTGCTACACCTCACTGCTGCTAGCGTTTCGCTTCTCGACCCGAAGCGAATGACGTGAACCTGTTTCTCTACGTCATCCAGGTAAAATCTCACCTGGCAAATACCCGTATGTACGGCCATTTAAATAAGCAACAAAGCGTAGCGACCAACATGGACTAGTCACGTGACACGAAGCAGCCGTTTAAACGATAAGGTGGGCACGGCTAGCTAGAAAGCCTAGATCCTGCATACATGGCGCGTATCTCACCTGTGAGTAATATGTGTAACGTTCCAAAGGTGCATTCGTCATACGCATAAGAGTCGCTCAGCAAGCGGTGTCGTCTAGGCGGGCACCCGAGCGAGAGAGTTGATAACGATCGTTTTACGCTGAAATCGTTTAAATATAAAGACGGAAAACGTTATGGCTTTACTTATACGTACCAAATGTACGCGGCTAGTTTTTATAATAATTTGTGTAGTGTGCATGCCCAAAGTTGGGGCGCAGACAAACGTTTACACTGTGCCGCCTGCACAGTCCACCACATGGACAGTGGATGGAAGTCCGTATATTGTTCAGAACGACCTGGAGATTGATGAAGAGAGCACACTTACAGTGCAGGCCGATGTACAAGTGTTGTTCCGTAATTCTACAGGACTCACGGTAAAAGGAGTTCTTCTGACAGAGGTACGTATATGTATTTTATATATATATATATAAAACACCATACTGGGGTTTGCTTCACGTACGTAATACCAACATTACCGTAATGATCGACAATCGTGCAAATACAGCATAGAAAATCGTATATAAGCATACATTATTATTGCACTTGAAACGATATAACTCATTTGTATTTCCATATTTATTGTTTATGTATAATACACGCGGACGTGATCGAGATAATACTTATAGATATAACATGGTTAGGAGGTTGGTAAAAGCTATTAAACAGCGATCGTCGGCGTTACTCTTGGCCTACTGGCCCTTCCGATCATGACCCGTGCGTAACGCTGTATCTGCTGGGCCACGACAGGCCGCCGCGAACAGTAGTAATTACGTAACCGCCCAAACCACGTAGCGCATGCTTGCTGAAGCGTTCGTTGATCGTTGCTGCAGCTACAGCTGTGGGTTACTCCCATACATGCATCTATCTATATACATGCATCTATCTATCTATCTATACGTCATACGACGATCACGCACGTTGCACGTATATTCCGTCGGATATGCATGTGATCAAGAGCTAATAATACGTGCCCTTTGTATTATATACTGCACAGTATACTGTATTATTAGCTATTGTTGTCATACGTGCCCATTGTTATCGTAAATTGCTTCATTTATAGTATGGATAAACTCGGTTCAGTTTAAATAAATACACGTTGGTTCAGGTACAGTTAATCTTCATGGTGGTTTCTGTAGTATGTACAGCTAGGTATGTCATGGTAGTATATGTAGTTTCATTCGCACACGTCGACGATCGAAAGGTATTTTGTACATGTGTGCATAATCTCATTGAATAATCTGTGCTCAGGTGTAAATAGTATTAATAATTAAACGTTGCATCGTAACCGAGAGCAAAAACATCATGCTTGGGCGGCAGATTAAAAGAGTTTTGTTGCGATCACGTTTGCGGACTAGGTGCTTTCTACACTGGGATATTAATTTGAGAGACATTTTACTTCTATCAGGTAATAGAGTATATACGCATTGTAGAAGTGAGACGAACGCGTGCATATATTCTACACATAATAGGTTCGTGATTATATATACTCTATCAGGAGTAAATAATAATAGATTATATTATTATAGATTATTATAGATTACTTTTAGAGCTATTATTATTCACTCTTGACTATATTATAGGGGACAGATGGCATAGATGCCATGCTCGTATAATATATATGGAAGTATGCACACACAGGGCTGCTTCGCCTGCTATTTCTAAAGAATCGGGGCAACAGCCAGCTAGGTTATATCCCTAGCCTCGCATAACAGTCGTTTTCTGAGCAAACATGTCCGTCCGCGTACACGCCGTAGGTAATGTTGGTCGGCGGCATGTGATGCAAAGGTGTGATACAAAGGTCGTAACACATCAGGTAGAAACGTAGCAAAGCAAACAAAGCCGAAGCTGATCCGGCCAAACTGGCACTCTAGTCGACACTTGTTTACTACTCCTCAACGCGCCACGTATACTATAGTCTTATATGTTTCTGGGTAGATATCTGTAATGAAGTCAGATGATAGCAGACAGCGTTGCGGTCAATAGGTTCGAATCTATAAACGGAGAACCACGTGTATTAACAAAAATAACTTGGGAGTAGCACGCAACAAAAGATATGGGGGTAGCTTAATTATGCATATACATTTGATAGCTATAACATATAGGTTATGCAGGTGTCTACATCACTATATAGCACGAAACATAACCGTAATAATATTACTGCCGGTGCCTATACCTAGCCAGTATTGTGTTCGTAAAACGATTTTGACATATCTTAAGATATTTTGTCTTCGCCATTGATAATATAACAATACACTAAGCGATTGCTGTCATTTTTTTTATAGTGAGTTGATCGTCACATGTCCAGTATATTAAATTATGGGGATCTTGTCGCTGGTGATATTTTTTATTAAATAGTGATATTAAATCGCAAGGTATCACGAGACAGACGATTCGGAAAGTTGTCGTCACTATAGCGATAACAATCACTAGCTGTATGTCGCGGTCTTTATCGGTGCGTGACGGCGTGGGTAACCATGCAAACCACTGCATCATGACCTCCCAATTATATACAACCCGGCATCCATCAACACACTAGTGTAGCCTGATCGCCAGCGTGTCTGATGTTCTTGCGATGCGTTTGGACTTTTTAAAGTTTCGTTCGTCATTTTCTTTCATCGTATTCATCGGTCTATGCAGTTGCGGGCATCGCGGGTAACTCATATCCGGAACTCCCGTAACGGGCTTTAATTGCGTACAAATCCATACCCTTTGTCGTAGGCAACGTATGAGCAACGATTGATATCTAAAAGCAATGCATGCAGGCGCAATTGAACACCCATAGCTAGCGGGCTGTAACATGGCCACCCTACGTGAAAGTCCGGCTCCCGCGTTCAGGCAAGTCCACCGTCATCACCTGCAGAATATAAAGTCTAAATCGTTAGCTTCGCGCCAGCGGAAACGCCTTGAAACCTGTAATCCGGATCCTGATTTCATATTTACTGGTTTGCGTAGTAAGTTAACTGGTTCGTCTCTCAGTTACTATATACTTTCGCATAACGCACAATAACACAATTGACATCACTGGAAATTGCAAAGATGCCGAGTGTTTGCCGAGAGATTTGCGCAACGTATAATATATGCCGAATGTCATGCAATCTCCTAATGCGTTGCCTATAACTGCATACACATAGGGAGTAATTTGAAAGAACAGTACATTAACTATAGCCATAATTGTGTCGCTTTCTCAGGGAACGAAAGATGCTAGAGTACAGTTCAGCAAAAGCGAAACGCTTACGGTCAATCCGGTGCCACCGAGGCAAATCCGGCTGGTGGATGGAGAGACAGTCGCCCGAGGCCGCCTACAGCTTTACCACAATGGAAAATGGAGATCCGTCTGCACGCGATCACACGTGTGAGTATAGTATTTTTTAATATAATATATATATATATATATATGTATGTATTTACAATAACCACATCTTTAGCGGTAAATAAACTAACCTGGCATTTTAATGTTGCAACTTTCGAAACATATAGATTATTCAGTGATCTATCAGCGATAGCTATCGATACTTTACTTCTCTATCGATGCATTGCTATTAAGCAGAACAATTAATCGATAGTTCACTGCATCGTTACACTACTAATGCATAGTGAGTCAGCAGTGTAGGGCCTACGTCATCAATGTTGGCATATATAGGTGCGTAGGCTGACGGCTATACCACCGTGTGTCGTGTACATTCCGCCCGGCAACGCAGCTGGCTTTGCCCAAATATAGCCATTTCGCGTGCTCGCGTTGGAGCCCCTTTGTCAACGTACTATATTGACTTGAGACGTATACACAGTGACATGCTAAATGTTTAAGCAATTGCATCATGTTGATGGGCAACATTATGTAGTTGTTGGAACGGACATATCTACAACTGTCAACAAACGACACGATTACGACAGAGGCGTGTTTATTGTGGCGAATTTATGCGCGTGACGTACCATAGGGCCTTAATGGGCTTTTGATGATATACCTATGCGCATGATATTTCAATTTCGTGGGTTTTAGATGGTGTGCATATGTCCGACTGTCGTTGTCAACCCGTGTCATAATAATCGCGTCTGCGACCCTATACGCGAATATTCGCCTGCTTGCCGTATTGTGCATTGTGCGCTGTCGAAAATGGGTAACATAGGTGATGAACTTGCCCCCGGGATACGTCTTAACACAGATTGCTAACTAGATGTCTCAAGCCGTCTGCCTATATGCGCATACTGTAGACGCCGTCACGGTTACAGCTGCTGTGCGGGAACTACGGTCGTTGCCAGTTTGGTCTACTCATGCAGATAAGGTCTATGTCTCCCTGACCTCTGTTTGACTATAGCTCGTTTAGCTATTTCTGACTAATATATATATATATATATTATATATATATAATATATCAGGGAGACATAGACTCTGATATGCTCTACTCATACAGTCTGCATACAGACAGTCTTTGTATCTCGACGCCCGATGTAATTTGTCTCTGCGAAAAGATTAAGCTCCTTTATCATTACATTGGAAAATATAAAATGCATGGAGGGATGCTTTTATCGCAAAGTGCCCTGATGAGTGTGGGGATAAGAAAGAGGAAGAGAGGGTCAGGGAGCACGAACGCGTGCGCGAGAGAGAGAGAAGGAGATAGAGAGAGAGAGAGAGAGAGAGAGAGAGAGAGAGAGAGAGAGAGCGAGA